ATCTAAAGACATCGACTGTGTCAAAATACTCCCCAATTGCCTGGATGAGTGCAGATATAACAACACAAGAAGTTCGGCACTACCAAAGGTAAAGCACATTGTTTGATCAGCATCACATTCACAATTTTCAACATTCTCTTCCTTCATCATTGTTGCGCAGTGGCAGCAGTGTATACCAAATCGTGTTTTCACCTAGTGTGTACACAATTCACTGCAACAACTCGCCAAGGTTCTTGAGCAGCACGTTCAAACCACAATCTCTATCACTTAGAAGGACAACGACAGCACATGAAAAGGAGTACCACTACCTTCAAGTTCCGCTCCAAAATATACACCATGTCAACTTTTAACCGTAAAGCCATTCCTTCACTTTCGCTGGGTTAAAATACTGGAATTCTTCGCCCCACATTATTAAAGTGTTCCTCCTCCCCAAGGACTGCGGTGGTTCAAGAAGGTTGCTCAACATCACCTTCTCCAAGTAAGTAGGGGAATGGGCAATAAATGCTGTTCTTGCCAGCAATGTCCACATTCCATCAGTGAATAAGTAAGAAGTAGCAGATTTTCCCTGTCACATTTGGCAAACATAATAGTGTATGGTATACCACAGAATACTAGGAGAAAAGGCTGCACGGCTACTTTATGTTCATCAATTTTAACTGAACAGGATAATCAGGTAGGCTCCATGATGTATACTGCAAAAGTGTAATTACTGGGAATGCATAATGAAAGATGTATCCAAGCTTTTAAACACACAATCCCAAATATGTTTTCAGTATGCAAGACTTTACAACAGAAAGTGGTCAGAAAATTATCCCTGAACTGTCAGTTGTTATTTGACTCTGGAAGACAAACCCTAAGTATGCATTTGAAATAAAAACAGAGATTGCTGGAGAAAGAGATAGCAAGAACTGCAGATGCTGGAGTCAGAGACAACACAGCATGGAGCTGGAGGAACACAGCAGGCCAGGCAGCATCAGAAGAGCAGGAAAGTTGACGTTTCGTATCGGGACCCTTCTTCAGAAATGGGCCAGGTCTGGGAGTAAGCTGGGGTAAGGTTGATTGTAGTGCCAGAAGATGCCAGCGCATTGCTGAAAGCGTGTACTTCAGGATCTGTAGAGAAACCTGTTTTTGGATGCTGTGCTGATAGAGGTTGTCACAGTTAGGGCCAAATTGGGATGGCCAGAATGTTGTTTGGAGTCCATTGGGGATGATCCAGCTGCGTAGGCAAGTGCTAAGGAAGGAGATGTGGCTGTAGTATCAGGTTTGCTTAAGTATGTGGTCGAAGAGTTTCAGGGCAGAGGAGATTACCAGAGGGTTGCATTGAGAGAGAGATCCACTGAGGTCTTTCTGGAGGGAGGAGGACAACTTCTTTAAGATTGGCATCCTTGAAAGAGGCTTCGCAGTGGAGTTATAAATCGCTCAGAGATAGCAAGAACTGCAGATGCTGGAGTCAGAGACAACAGTGTGGAGCTGGAGGAACACAGCAGGCCAGGCAGCATGAAAGGAGCAGGAAAGTTGATGGTTCAGGTTGGGACACTTTTTTTCATTTCTGAAGAAGGGGCCTGACCCGAAATGTCAACTTTCCTGCTCCTTTGACGCTGCCTGGCCTGCTGTGTTCCTCCAGCTGCACACTGTGTTGTCAGGTGCTGGAGAAACTCTGGTCTGCTGGAACAGTTCTGAAGAAGATTCACTGGACTCGATAAGTTAACCTTTGTTTTCTGTCCACAGATACTGCCAGACCTGTTGGGTTTCTCCAGCAATTTTTGTTTTTGTTTCAAATCTGCGTCTACAGTTCTTTCGTTTATCTCACTATATGTATTTACCTACTGTCCAGATGTGAATTTCCAGCGGTGTCTCCAAATAGCAATTGGAATTTATGATTGATTTGCTTACTGTCTGGTTCTATTGTTTTGAAGCCAACTGTAATTTTCTTCATGCAACTTCGGTTGAGATTGGCTAACTTGATGCGAACCAGGGAGCGAATCTGGCTCATTCCTGGCATGTGTGCACCCCTATCATCTCTCAGATGGTACATTTTATAGCCATCAGGTAAGTCAATATTCATAATTCATGTAACAATGGAGGCATATACACTGCTTTATATAAAAGTTACTGATGTGTACTATGCCATTTCAAAAACATGCTGAGCAAGGACTTTCTTAGATGGAATGAGAAACGATACACGCAGGATCACGTCACAGTGTTCACGTATCACATCTTGAGATGAATTACAGTAATCCCTTGCTTAATGTTTTGGTTGTGTTTCTGAAAAATTTGACATTAACTTAACAACTTTAAGCAAATAAGATTGCCTCATTCCAATTTATAGCTGCAGTAAGGTTTTTAAGACCTTTCTGGTCAGAAAGAAATTGTGAAATTATACCTTTTAGGTTGAAATATCACATTCCTATATTCTTCTATCATTAAATGAAATAACTTCTAAAATGAAAGAATTTTGTTTTAAAAAGTTATGCTAACTCCTCTACTTCCACTTGCCATCTGTCTTGTTTGCTAGTCCTCCCACTTGCAGACCCACCCCAGCCTCTACAGCTTGCCATCTTTTCCATTTACCGCCCCTCCCTCTCTCATACTGCTGAACCCTCACTGTGAGTGCTGTACTAATGCTGCAAGGGCTTTCTAACTTACATGGAGCGACATCTGAGTCTGCAGATTGCAAAGCAAGTATGTATGTCACTGCCTTTAGAAGTTAGAGATTGTAAAAAATTAGCTTGTAGCAAATCTCATGTGGAATTACATGAAATGTTTGGGAGAGGGGTGGTGAGAAGGATGAAATGAGCTATGGTACAACAGGAGATAAGAGTGGGTGAGCCAGGTGGGAGAGGTGGCAAGTAGGAGGGTCAGCAAGTGGCAGGGTCAGGGCATAGGAGACACAGTAAGTGAGTCGGAGTAGTTGCTCCAAAATGGTACCAAATCAGGTCATGCATTGGTCCCTGAACGGAATAACTTTAAAACTGAAACGCTGACATCACATGCACAAACTACCTACTATATCAGTGATGTTAAAGTGGAATGAATTAAAACAGGGATCTGCTATATGCAGTCATAAAGTGGCAGGAAGCCTATGCGCTCTCTTGGTTAATAATATTGGACAGTATACTGAAAACATAAGTAACTTCTAAAAATAGGCATGTTCTTTTAGATCAAATTCCCAGCAGTAAAAGATACATCTGAATGATTCAGTATAATGATCTCAAAACTTTTGTGGATCTTTCTAAATTATTTAACTCATTTATAAATTGTCACACAGACACTGAAAACATATTTTATTTATTTTTTTTTTACTTTTGAGAATTTTCCAAAACAAGTATCCAAAAAGGCATTCATATTACACTAATAAATAGTTATATTTGAATTCCTGAGGGAAATTGTAACGGGAGTTCTGTCAGATGTGTGACAAAGTTAAAAAACCAATAATACTGGAGAAAGAGAGACTGTCACAGAACAAGCAACACAATAATTCTCATATGTTCGGAACACACCTCTGTATAGAAATGTAAACAAGTTCATACAAAATAGATAACATTTTTCATAAAGTTTGAATAGCATATGCTTTTTATTTTAGAAGACTGTGTGCTCTAAAAGGTTTACAAAGACATTTACTAATTGTATCTCCACATTGCATAGATAGTCAAAGTTTTTCAAAATTAGAAAAAAAAACTTGATACATTGTACAGCCAAATAAAATTGTCATAATTAATGTAAATGCAATTATTCTAAATATTGACCAGCTTTCCAAATCAGATTCCGGCATATTTGACGATGATTGTATAACAGAAATATCTTCTAATATTCAACCCCCTTACATTTTAATTTGACACAGAATGTTGTTCTAGATAATGTTACCTCTTCTCCAAATGTCCTGCTGCCCTTCCCCCATACCATTGTAGCTTTCCAGCTATTTTCCACACCCATCCATTTGAAAAATTGACAAACAAAGCAACAAAAGGATTCATTGGTTGAATGGTAAAAAGTGTTACAAATCTAGTTAACGAATGTCCTAGGAATGACAACTGAATGTTTTGTTTATGATATGACTTGTCCAATAATAGGTGCGATAATAATGTACTGAATGTTATTCCATTAATATTTTAACAGTCAAATTGACTACTGTTGCAAGTTTTCTTTATCTTAACCATTCGTCATATTTTTGATAGCTATTTTTCATATCAACTGTTGAGAGATATTACATCACATCTCCAGAACTGGGAGTACACACACATCCATTATTCTTTGATTATGTCACATTAATTTCAGAAATAAGGAAATGCCAATGATTAGAAAACATGATAAACTTGATAATTTTGCGTATGAATATAAATTAAAATTAATTAAGTGCAGCTAAGAAATGTATTAATTACTTATCAGAACTCACTCAGTTATTACAGACGGAGGAAAAAATGATCTTTTATAAGCAATTACATTGGAAGGTCTTTCTTGGACTAATAACTACCAATAATTTTAAATTCAGACTATAGTAACTTCACACTGATTAATGGTAAAACATTCTGTGTCCATATTAATTTGTAAAATGGTTGAAAATTGCACCTAGTTTGACTGCAATAACATCTTAAAATATGTATGAATTGTGAATAGAAGAAAAGAAAAACTTATGTAGAACACACAAAGGAAACATAAAATCACAGACAGTACTAAAGAGGCAGATTAACATAATGGCTTCTCAAGAAAGAGCTTGATTGTTTTTAAAATTCATATAAATGAATCAACTCATACAGGACCTGCCTGTTTTAAAAATATTCCATAAACTGACTTTAGTGAGAAGAAAAAAAATACTGTTCATGCATTCAGTTCCACACACTAAAAGCATACCAGGATGCATAATCCATTCATCAACGCACCCTTCTCTCAGTTTGTATTGAAAAATAGTTTGTATGTATCATACAAGGGCATAAAGCAGCATCAAGTGTTATGCAATTTGCTCCAGACCTTTCAATATAGATTATTATAAAATTAACAGAATGTTTATAAGATAATTGTACTTTTATTGTCTTAGTTACCAATTGCACTATATATAAAAACATAATGATTTACATATTATTGCACGTAGCCAGAAAACCTCTTACAGTTTTCTCCATATATTCGCAATCCTGTCTATATGTTCCAGATGTATTCAAAGTTTGTTGTCATTTATTATTTATATAGAGCTGTACTCTCTGCTTTAAGATTAATGTTGATGTTAAATATCGCACATTTTTCAAAGAACACATTCAGCAGCAGGGACTCAATAATCGTTCCTAGAGGGCACAATATACCACAAAGTAAGTGCTTCCTGTTTTCAACAATCAATCTTCATTTCTATACTGTGTTGCACTGTTTCAAATGGCGTAACAGAAAAATTTTACATGTTATATATAAATTTTAAACATATACAGGCTGATAGCTTTCACCATGGTCAACAGAATTCCTCTGACTCATCTCTGTCTGATTCTCTTTGGGCTCACCATTGTCCAAGGGTTTTGGATACCGAAATGGATAACCATTGTCATCAAAGAATCTTCGGAAGGTGAACTCATAAAATGCATGTTCTGGATGTTTATTGCCACTAACATGACTAGTTAGTGTGTCAGATGTTTTGGTGCTATTACTGCTGTCATTCCATGAGTTCTCTTCTTCTATTGGGTCAAAGTTGGAAGTGTCCATGGGATGGCTTATCTTTGGGACATAAGGTGCTGGTTGTCTGCGGATGTCTTCAGAAAAATCAATAGAAATAAAAAAAGGATGACCCTTAATTTCATCTGTTCCATTTCCACCCAATCTGTCACTGGCTCCGCAACAGAGCTTTATGATGAGATCTGTTGCCTCAGAACTAAGCTTTACTTGTGGAGGAATGTAGAGTGTGCTCTCCCAATTTATCACCTGAGGATAGAAGTTATAATGAATATGATTATTTCACTCCATATATTAAGTTAATTTTTACCAAGTGTGAGCTGACAAGCCACAATTTAATTTGCAGTTGATAAATACCAAAACCACAAATGAGGATTTCAGCAGGTCATGAGCTAAGACAAGGCAAAGCTGGGACCATCTTGTGTAGGTGTAAACAGGTGATCTTGATGATGGCACAAATGTGGTCCAAAGCTGATCTCATGGTCAAATATGACACCAAGGCTGTGACCATATGAGTTTAATCTCAGACTATTTCCAGAGAAAGAAGATCCTGTTAGGAACTAGGGAATGGAGTTTATTGCGGGGATCATAGTCTTTCCAACATTCAATTGAAGGAAGTTTCTACTCTACCAGTACTGAATGTTGGTCAAGCATCCCATCCAAGACTGGCAACTCAAAACAGATAAGTTGAGGCAGGCACCTTCCTGGTCTTAATGCAAATAATGGGAATTATCTTTGGTGGAATAATTCTCTTGCTCACCCCCTAGACAACTCATAAAAGATGTTAAGTAAAGCCACCAAATCTACTTCCTACGTCATTGGACCTATACTGCAGACATAATTTGCAATTTCTCAGACCTATAAAGTTGAGAAATTTGAGCTATTTTTCACATTCCACTTGTGAAGCAAGTGAATGCACCTTCCATGTCTGACCCCATGCAATTGAAACATGTTGTGATTTTCAGTAGAAGGTGGGACTTCACCATTAAGGTCAGTTACCAGGTTGCAGTTGACTATTTTTGCAGTCAACAAGGAGGCACGCCATCAACAAATGGGATTGCCATTTGTAACATGGTTCACTAATGTCCTTTAGGGAAAGAAACTGCCATCCTTATCTGGTCAGGCCTACACGTGACTCCAGACCAACAGCAATGAGAGTGGCTCTGACCTGCCCTCTAGGCATTTAGGGATGGGCAATAAATGCTGCCTAGCCATCGATGCCCTCATCCCATTAATGAATAAAGAAAAAAAAAGGGGCTTTGGAACAGCAACGTGCCATTTGCCCTTCAAGCCTGCCAGTGATAAGACCATGGCTCATCCTACTCTGGTCTCAACTGCAATTTTCTGCATGACAAAGCCCTCAACTACCCTCGTCTACTAAAAATCTATTTAACTCAACCTGAATAAATTCAATGACACCTCCACTGCTTTCTGTGGAGGGGAACTTTAAACACTGACAATGGTCCAGGAGAAAAAAAATTCTTGATTTACAAGGGAGACCTGTTATTTTGAATCTGTTTAACCAAGAAGAAACATCCTCCCAGTATTCCCTCGGGATCTTTTTTACTTCAATAAGATGGGCTCTCATTTTCCTAAACTCCAGTCAGTAAAAGTCCAATCCATTCAACCATTCTTCATAAGAGAAACCCTTCACCAAGTTGAGTTGGGCGAAACTTTGCTGAACTGCTTCTAATGCAGTTAAAACCTTTTCAAATAAAGAGATCAAAACTGGACAAAGTAAACCAAATTTACTCGCAACAAATCCTTTACAACTGTAGTATAACTGCCCTAATGTTATATTTCTGTTCTCCATACAAATGTCCATTTATGTTTCTTTCCACCTGGTGTACTGATATAATAAATTTTGTTTCCAAAATAAGACATTTTGTTGAAGCTTTTTGTCCTGCACTTATCAGAACAACTTGCAACAATACAAATTCATGGCGAAAACCAACTTTTATACTTCATGAGAGTGTTGATGAGTTGGAAAGTGGATGCTAGTTCGTTGAGGTGTTGCCATGGACAAAGCACCAATTAATGACTGACAGTTAATTGGCAGGCTTTGTTTAAATTTTACAGGTTGACTCTGATTTCTCAGGGAAAGGCCCCAACCAATGATCCAGCAAAAGGATGTCACCTATTTTGTTGGGTTGAAACAGACAGAATGTGTGTACATTTTCTCTCTACTTGCAAAGCCCTGTGTGTTAAAATATGGAGCTTGCTGGACACACAACTGCACCACACTGTGAGCTCAACTAACAATGCTACTTTGTGCAAAGTTTTATGTTGACAACCACTCAGGATTATTTAGTAAAATTTGTCTAATTGCAGAATCACATCTAATGCTTGACACTGTGATAGTTGGGTAAGGTCAGTACTTTGCTTGTTGTGAACAGCCAAAGGGATATGCTGCAATGTGTATGGTCTAGATACCTGGCATCATACAGGCATTGAAGTTCACATATCACACTACTCATTTGCATGATTGGTAAATGCCCTTTTGGTTTGGCATCAGTATTCTGATAGTGGAGAACACCACTTGCTGCTCAAATGTTTGAGGTACCTTACCATTTCAAGGTAATCCGAGTTGAACTGGGCACTTTTCAGTACAGTGACCACCTTAGGGCTTTTCATAAGTTTGCGCAATATACAGCTAACATCAACATGGGTCTTTATGGGATTCAATATGTGTCTTTGATGAACTAACACTTAACCTGCTACTCCTTGAATATTTCTGATATGTAGGTGATACAGTTGCCTTACAGTACTTGAATCTACAGCTGCTGAATGCCTTGCATGTTTTTACAGACTCCATCTGCACTCAAATTCTCATTTGAGAGAGAACAGTTAAACAAGCTCCCTTTACTTGATGTTTTATTTGAGAAATCAGCCAGGAGTTCTCTACTACAGTCTACTGCAAACCTACTTTCTTCACTGATCGGTATAGAACATAGAACAGTACAACACAGGAACAGGCCCTTCAGCCCACCATGTCTTTGCTGACCGTGATGCCATTCTAAACTAATCCCATCTGCCTGCATGTGGTCTGTATCTTTGTTCCCTACCTCTTTGTTTCTGTTTAAAAGCCTCTTAAACATTGCCATCGTATCTGCTTCTACCACTTACACTAGCAGTACATTCCAGGCACCTACCACCCCTGCATAAAAACTTGCCTCACGCAAAACTTGCCTTCTTTAAACTTTCCCCTCTCACTTTAAACCTATGCCCCCTAATATATGACATTTCCACCCTATCCATGCAACTCAATTTTATATATGTCTATCATGTCACCACTCGGTCTCTTACACTCTAGTAAAAACAATTCAGGTTTGTACAACCCCTCCTTATAGCTAATACACATCCTGGTACATGTTTTATGTGCCCTTTCCAAAGCCTCCATGTCCTTTCAACAGTGTGGCAACCAGAAGTTCACACAATACTCAATGTGGTCTAACTGAAGTTTGATACAACTAGAACATGGCTTGCCAACTTTTACTGTATGCTCAAGCATGCCGTTTGTCTTCTTCACCATCTTATCCACTTTTGTTGCCACTTCCAAGGAGATATGGTCTACACCCCAAGATCTCTCTGTAAATCAAAGCTCCTAAGGATCCTGCTATTTACTGTATTCTTTTCTCTTGCACTTGATCCCCCAAAATGCATACTTGTCTGGATTAAACTCACCTGCCATTTCTCCACCCAATTTCCAAATGATCTATATTCTGCTGTGTCCTTTGACAACTTTCCTCGCGTCATCTGCTTACATACTAATCAGAACGCCTATGTTATCATCCATAATTTGTATAAATTACAGAGGTCCCAGCAGGGATCCTTGTAGAACACCACTGGTCACTGACCTCCAGTCAGAAAAACACCTCTCCACACTAACCACTGTCTCTATGACCAAGCAATTTTGTATCCAAATTACCAACTCACCATCAATCCCATGTGACTTGATATTATAGACCAGCATACCATGGGGGACTTTGTCAAATGCTTTAGTAACGTCCACGTAGACAACATCCACTGCCCTACCCTCAACAATCATCTTCATCACTTCCTAAAATAATTCAAATCAAATTTGACATACAAGACCCTTCCTGAACAAAGTCATACTGACTATCCCTAATAATTCTTTTTCAAATGCAAGTAATCCTGCCCTAAGGAATCTTCTCCAGTGATTTTCATACCACTGATTTAAGGCTCACCAGTTTATAATTTCCTGGATTGTCCCTGTTGCCCTTCTTAAATGAAGGAACAACATTGGCTATTCTCCAGTCTTCTGGAACCTCAACTGTGGTTAAAGAGGATAGAAATATCTGTGTCAAAACTCCAGCAATCTCTTCCCTTGTCTCCCTCAGTATTCTCGGATGCCTTCAGGCCCTGGGGACTTATCTATCTTAATGTTTTTCAAGACATCCAACACCTCTTCCTTCTTAATATCAAGATGACTTAGAATTCCAGTATATTCCTCTCTAATCTTAGCCATCATCCGTAACCTTCTCATTGGCAAATACCAATGCGACGTACTTAAGGGTGCCACCCATTTCTTCTGGTTCCATGCCTAAATTCCTTCCTCTACCCTCAAGTGCACTTACCCTTTCCCTAGCCACCCTCTTACTCCTAACGTACGCATGATTCAGTGAAACTAATTATGTCAAGGCTGTTGCTCAGCTAGTCTTTTGACTCTCCCTATTTCAGCAGAAGTCCCAGATGCTAATAAGGGCTCTGCAAGGTCAACTGAGCAATGTGTGCCTTGAATTCCAATGCCTAGGTCGATGTCAGTGGTTCATCCAGATTAATTCTTATTCAACCTGTCACAGTTTGGCACAACTTAATGTTTTGCCAAGACATTTCAGAGGGTAGTTTACAATCAACCAGACTGAAATGGGTCTCAGTTAGCGAATCAGATGGATTTTTGTGATCACCATTGCTGAGACCAGCTTTTTTATGCACATTTACTACTTGATTGAGATTCTCCCCGCTGATGAGGAATTTGACTTGTGTTTCTGGAGCATTAGACTGGTGGCTGGAATACTAGCCAAGTAACATTACCACTGTACCACTTTACCCTCATTTAGTACACAATTTGGTTTATGAGATACTGTATCAAGAAAATAAAACATAGGTTCTGATGTATTGCTGTAAGGACATACTGCCCTAGGTACCTACCTTAATTTGAGTTTCTGCAGGTGTTGGAGCAAGAAAAGGAGGCTGCCCTACTAACATTTCAAACAGTATAACTCCCACACTCCACCAGTCACAAAGTTGAGTGTATCCTGTAAAAGAGACACCATTACGCAAGATAACCCCCAAATGTAAGTAAACGTTTACCCGAGATGGGAATAGAGCAATAAACTTTATTTATTTTAAAAATTTGGCTAAAACTCACAGACCAGTTGAGTCAAATGTTTCGATACTGTAAATTAACAAGGTTCAACAGAATTGGTCTGCTGCAAAATCTGTAAATAACTAATAACTGAAAAATATTAATTTATTTGATATTGCTAAAAAATTGTCAGTTTTTCATTTTGCATTCATCAGGACAATTCATAAGAAATATAAAAGTAAAAGGAAAATAACATTTATACTGTATGTGAGAAGAGTGCTGATTGGTTGGCAAATGGACTCTGATTGGTAGAGATGATGCCACGGAGAATACTTTGGTTAATGATGATTGGTAACTTGGCAGTTAAGTGTCAATCTCTCAGTGCAGAGAAAATGATTTTCATACTCCCTTCCTTGTGGCATTTTCGCCTTTTTTAAAAAAACTAATCACATCAGATGACAGGCAAACTATAAAATCTGGTACCAATTAATTGTTTTGAAAATTGCTTACTTAGTTAGGTAGTTCATAGTGATAGGCTGCTGAATATCTTACACGAGCTATCATTGATTGTTATTTGGTATGAATTCCTGATGTATCTAACAAGATCAAAGATCATCTAACATAGAAACATCTCTCTCTTTCAATAGTCATTGTTGCACTAAAATGCTACATTTCCTCACAAGTGTTTGTTGCTTTGAGTAGTGGTTTTGCCCAAAAACAGAGTCCACGTACTTAAGCAATTTGACCTTGAATATGTCCATGTCATACACCATAATTCACATGATAGGAGATTCCACATTTGAACCAGACTGAATAACTATGCTTCTCCTCGATTCCTTAATGGTGGCTCTCTTATATTTATGGTCCTTAGTTTTAGATTCTCAAAATGTAGAAACATTTATTTGTATTTATCTTTTCAAACGGCTTTATTACCTTGAGCATTCTTTTCTTCTAGAGAAAATATCTGAGAATATTCTTGCTTAGCTAAAAATTCTTAGAAGCTCCAAAAAGTCAGATGACTTTTTTTTGTCCCCAGGTACTTAGGATGATTACTGGTCTGCAGTTTTTTGGCTTTTTCTGTGCCTTTGCTGGGAGTCACTGCTGCTGTTGTAACCCTCTTTGTTCTTCAGCGGTTGAACAATGTCTTCCCGTATTATTGGGTACAAGTCCTTTCCAATGGCATTGTTATGAAACATTATAATGATCTGAAAGTACAAATGTACAATTGCATGTGGATTTTCGTGAAAGCACAAGTCGGTCCATGTGTGGCATGTAGAAAGTCCTTTTCAGGTGGTTTGCATTTCATACATACATGTTCAGATGAATGGAGGGGAGAGAGGAAAGTCAGTTTCCATAAGGATGCTCTGAATTTTCCACGGGCTGGATTTTTCCATTTGAAATTTCATGACATTATTCTCACCATGGCCCAGGGAGAATTATGTTGCACGATTACCTGCCTCTGATCTCAATACTCTATAGGCAAATTCGCATGGTGAGTGATATGGAAATACTTGCTACTATTGGCAGCTTCAGGCTTTCACATGTCTGGCACCATATTTAACAGCCAGTTGAGACCACTACAGACTGTGCAAGCCAGGAACTATCCCTTACATGTGGTGCTCATCTCTCGACATATGACACAAAAAAAAAGCTGTCTTCCTGTTTCAAAAAGAAAGATCTAAAGGTGTTGGTGGATGCAGTGATGAAGAGAAGGTTAGTCTTCTGCCTGGCTGTCTGTAACTAAAGGCCACCCCACCCAATCCAGTATGGACAGAGATAGCAGCACTGAAAAGATTATTTATTTCCTGTTCTCCACAAGGGTAAGAGGCACCATCGTTTTTCTGCTACCTCACAGGTACAGCACCGTCACTCATTCTAACTGTGCCACTGCATATGTATCTCATGAAGGATGATGGTGTATAACCCTCATCATCACCACATGTATTATGCCTACTCAAGGGCCTACATCACTTCATCCATTACAACTAATAACCCTATTTGTCCTCTGCACTTCCTGCTCACTCAGTGGGGACACCTCACCATCTCTTGGGGTCACGCATGATGAGTAACTGCTATTGTATCCATTCCCACTGTATTCAATCCTTCTCTATCGTTGCTAGAAAAACTGGCACACAGCCAGGTCAAGAAGTCTAAGACTGATGGATGGGGATGGTGGGGGTTGTTGGCACACATCACGTATCAGGAGATTGCCAGGGAAGACCAGAACGGCTGATGAGGACGGCAAAAGAACAATGGGCAACCAACACAGAAACCTGTGCTCCTCTCTGATTGGCTTGCCCATAGAAGGCAGAGGGTATATGTGGAAGGGTGTTTTTCTGGCTGGAGGTCCGTGATTAGTGGTGTTCTGCAGGATCCATACTGAGACCTTTGCAGTTTGTGAAATATATAAATGACTTGGACAAAAACATAAATGGGTGGGTTAGTACATCTGCAGACGACACAAAGATTGATGGAGTTGTAGATGGTTTAGAAGGTTGTCAAAGGATACAGCAGGGTATAGATCAGTTGCAGATATAGGTAGAAAAATGGCAGATGGGGTTTAATCTGGGTAAGTGTGAGATGCTGCACTTTAGGAGATCAAACGTTAAGGAAAAGTAAAAAAAGGACCCTGAACAGCACTGATGTTCAGAGGATGTTGCAGTTCAAATCCATAGCTCCCTGAAAGTGGCCACATGAGTAATTGGGGTGGTAAAGAAGGCATATGGCATGCTTGCCTCTATTGGTCAGGGCACTAACCACATGAGTCAGGCTGTCGTGCTTTGGTTAGGCCACACTTAAGAGTACTGCGATCAATTCTGTTTGCCACATCACAGGAAGGATGTGGAGGCTTTGGAAAGGGTGTGGAAGAGGTTTACCAGGATGCTGCATGGATGACAGGTTATGAGTTATAAGGAGAGGCTAGAAAATCTATGGTTATTTTCTCTGGAGTGACAGAGGCTGAGGGAGACTTGATAGAAGTCTTTAAAATTATGAGATGCATAGATAAGGTTGATGGTCAGAATCGTTTTCCCCAGAACTGAAATGTCTAATAGTAGGGGGCATGCATTTAAGACGAGAGGGTGAAAGTTCAAAGGAGATGTGAGGGGCAAGTTTTGTTTTTAAACACAGAGTGGTAGGAGTCAGGAACATACTGCCAGGAGTGCTGGCAGAGGCAGATATGATAGGGGTGTTCAAGGGGCTCCTAGATAAGCATATGAATATGCAAGCAGTGGAGGGATATGGACTAGGGGCAGGCAGAAGGGATTAGTTTAATTTGGAGTCATATTCAGCGCAACATGGTGGGCCAAAGCGCCTGCTCCCGTGCTGTACTGTTCTATATTCTAATCAACATATTGTGGTAGCTCTGATATTAGTGCCTGATGTCTTCATGGCAACTACCTTGGAGACCCCAGGTCCAGCAGAAAGGTCAGTAGTTGCCAAATATGCAAATCAGACATGCACTTTGTTACTTTAACAATGAGTCTCAGCATCAATGGTAAGGTTAAAAAAAACACGAGGGAAGAGGCTCTTTGACCTCACTCCATCCTCTTCCTCTCAGGGAAGCAGGATGGTGCCAGCAGGAATTCACAGGAAGGAATAGTAACATACAGGCATCCTAGAAGCTTCTGCTTAGAATACTCCAGAGGTAACCTATCCCTTTACCTCCCCACTGCCAACAGCAGGTCAAGCCTAGAAGTGAGCTTGCAGTTGGGCAGAAGTCTCAGTATGCATGATCTCTCTAGGTGGAAAGCACCTACTGCAATGCCATCCAAGTATTCTAATGTCAACGGGACCAACATCTGAACAGACTGCCTCCAAAGCAGCTGTGGAAGTCTGCCTTACACCTAGTCATAGTGGGAAGGAAGAATAAAAAAATCACTTAGGGCACATAGGTGGCATCATTGTAAAAATGACTTCAATGCCCTCCATATATTTTCATTTGCACAGTTACAATGTCTGTAGTATTTTTTCACTATGAGACCTGGTCAAAGTCAGATCTATAGAAGGGTTGAGAAGCCTCTCCACATGTGTCAAGTGTGTAAGATATTGCAAGTTGTAAACGCTGTTCTTCTCTCTCAAGTAACAAGTCTTTGACTGCAGGTAGCTCCTTCTGTCCAGGATCCTTGAAACTTAACTGAGGATTGCAGCCAAGTTTGGAGAATACTGAGGTAAGAACAACGTATAATGAAAGTGCCAGGGCACAGATGGAATATAGCCTTAGACACCCTATTTATGAGAGTTCCATATGCCTTAGTAGGGAAAAGCAGTTCCTTCGTATGAGCTTTTCAAGGAAGTGTTGCTACATTCAAAGCTGTGAAATATTCATAGACAGCTCACATATACAGTCCCTCTTGGCAACTCCAGAGAGAGAAGAGAGAAGGTTCTTGAAGTGCTAACTTTTGCAGGTTACGTGTTGTGGAAGAGAATGCTCAATTAATATCAAAGCAACATTACAGTCTCTATGCACTTGTAGGCAATGAAAAGATAGAGATAAAGAAAGGGTCAAAAGGAGCTTTTTCAGGATCAGTGACAACCTAGTGATTCTCTTGAGGAACTGGACAACAGTAGACTCATATGCCAGATCATAAAAGATGGTTTCACAGCTAAATAACATTAGTGCTAATATGATACACGTGCACTGTGTCGCCGACAGAATGTTGTTCTTAGGTGGTTTAACATGTATTCAGTTGAAACAAATCGTTCAATCGCACCAATAACAGTACTTAATCTGCAAGAACAAGTATGAAGAACAGCAAACTAATAAGTTAGACATTTCCTTTTAATTAAGCAGCAGGTTGCCAGTCAGATGAGCAACTTAATTGTGCAATCAAACTCTGAACCTAGCTTTGGCATCAAGCAGATAGCAATATAGCTTGTCTCTGGCCTCTCAGGCTCTCTGAAACATTGCTCTATTTTCCTCTTATGGACAGCCTTCCTGGGCATTCTCCTGCCCTCAGCCTCATCATCATCCTCAGATGTTTACCCACAATCCCCCAGGATGACCGCTCAATCTCTACTGCAAAACTCCACTAGAGTAGTCCAAGCAAATAAACAACATTTAAAACAGGTAACATGATGTTCCACTATGACGCTCATGGAAAATTTAGCATCACTGTAGCTTAGCTCTATGTTTGTCTGTGGATTTCTTATATGTCATGACTGTTTTGGAGTAGGCATCCCTGGTCTCCAAGCAGACATTCCTGCACAGGCCAAGAGTGCATGGGCCTGCATGAGTGTTCTACTACATTGTAAGGCATTTCCTTGCACATCTAGGATGGACCTCCAAAAAAATGACTTTGATTGTCATAAATTAACTGAACATTAATAAAGTGGAATCCTTTTTCATTCACCAACTCTGCTAGTTGCTGCCTTCAAAAACAACATAGCACCTTGTACCTCAGGGAAGTCAGTGATGATGGAGAATACTAATGCCCTAGCTGTTTGACTGTAATCAGCAAGTAGGGAAGAAAGTTGAAGAGGTGGGCTATGGTGAAAATGGTATAATGAACGTCTTCAATGCATTTAAAACTGGACGTTTCTTGCAGAGGTTCCCAGTCACTCCTCGAAATGACATGCAAGCACAAAAATTAAGGGCAGCTGTAACCTTTAAAGCTACTGGGATCAGATTGCCACCTAGTCATTGTCAGCATAAGTCCTTGTATAGCAGCTGGCACAGCTCAGAGGTGATGGATAGGAACATCCTTAATCTTCTGCAACATTACCATTCTGCCATTGGCAGATAATTGCAGTGAAGTGTATAACCCTGATTGTCATCAGTCCTCTGAACCTCCTTGGTGGATTTTGTCCTGCTGCTTCTCCCTCTGGAGGCTATGCAGCAGCCGCTGTCAACTGACATTTTTGCTGGGCTTGAAGTTCTTGCATCCGTTATCTCCTTCTCCAGGTTCCATTCCTGGAGCAATGACACAAGAAAGGCGGAACTGGCATCTGCCATTTTAGCTGTGTTAGAAGATGATCTTTGAGGAATGTCAGAGAAATCACGCAGTGTTTTTGAAGAAATGCCCAAGTCCTCACATCTTTAATAATCAAACTGCACATTATGCTTTCACACATGGTCTCATGGAGGCTTCCCAAGGAGGTAGCTGGCATGTCACTCAGGTGTGTGATCTTACCAGATGCATAGTTGGCAAAGTGTCTAAGTTCCACTGGGTGTATGCTCCTGCCAGTCGGCCACCATGAAACCAGCCCATCGCCTCCCCCTCCAACCTTCCTACAACATCGAAGTCTATGTCCTTGCAGACTGGTGTCTCCGAGTGAGGACATGGCTGCTGTGTGTTGTTTTCCAGTACATTCTACAGATTGTCATGGCCAACTGGGAATGACAAGTTGCATTTCTAAATTTCTTGTTACATCAAGACTTTTTGAGCTTGTGTGACAAAGTCATATTGTCTCCCTCTCCACAGATGCTGCCAGACCTGCTACACTTCTCTTTTCTCTTCTAACTTTATATAAATGCATGTTCTGTGTGACTTGAATACTAGCGAAGTGAAAGTGTCATGAACCACAGTAATTGTACTCCTTAGTGTTGATAATTTGTTCCATTTTTATTTGTTCATGAGATGTCAGCATCACTGGTGAGCCCAGCATTTATTGCGCATCCCTATCTGTCTTGGAGAAGGTGATGGTAAGTTTCCTTCTTGAACTACTGCAATCCTTGGGGTCTGGGGATATCCTCCGTGTTGACAGAAAGTGGTTCATGATTCCAACACAGTGACAGTGAAGGAACGCAATGTAATTCCAGGTCAGGGTGGTGTGAGGCTTGCAACTGATGTTTTTTCACACATCTGCTATCTTGTCTTTCTTGGTGGTAGAGCTCCCAGGTTTGAAAGGTGCTGTGATGGAACCCTAGCAAGTTATTGCAGTGCATCTTATAGATGTTACACATGCTGGCCCTGTGCATCCGTGGTGGAAAGCATGAATATTGAAGGTGCTGGGTAGGATAACAATCAAGCAGACTGCTTTTTCCTGGATGGTGTCAAGCTTCTGAAGTGCTGTTAGAACTGCACCAACCCTAGCAACTGAAGAATTTTCAAGTCACGTTCCTGACTTGTGCCTTGACGACATAAGCAGTGTTCTTTCTCAGCTGCGCAGCTGCTTGAAAAGTGTCAATTCATATGTGGATCCATTGATTTCTGGTTCCAGAAGCTGCTCCTGCACATGGACCTTGGAGGTTTGTTCAATGGCAGGAGAAATTAGGGGAAACATAGGTGACAATAGGGGATTACTTGCCACAGAATTCTTAGGCTCTGACCTGTTTTTTTTAGCCACTATAATTATACAGCTAATAAAAACCAAAAGAACTGCGAATGCTGTAAATCAGGAACAAAAACAAATTTGCTGGAAAAGTTCAGCAAGTCTGGCAGCATCTGTGAAGGAGAAAACAGAGTTAACGTTTCGGGTCCAATGACCCTTCCTCAGCTATATTTATATAGCTAGTCCAGTTTAGTTCCTGGTCAATGGTATTCAGTTATGGTAAAGCTCTTGGTACAAAGTGTAACATGAGTAATGTAAGTTATGAATGTAAGTAAAGAAAAAAAACACTGGAAACATTAATAAGATTGAAAGCAAAAATGTCTCAGATTTAATGGTCAATATACTAAAGTTTAAGATGTGCCTGAAGTAAACAGTAAATACATTGATTCAGATCTTTCAAAATTCTTTAAATCTGCAGTATCACAAAGGATTGGAAGAAAACAAATATAATATCTATTCAAGAAAGTAGGGAAAGAAAACAGAATTCTAAATTTGTTCAACAAAGTCAATTATTTGGGAAATCTTGGAGTTTGTTTATAGGAATTGGAATGTCATGTTGTGGCTGAACAGGACGTTGGTGAGGCCACTTTTGGAGTACTGTGTACAGTTCGGGTCGCCCTGCTATAGGAAGGATATTATTAAATTGAGAGGGTTCAGAAAAGATTTACAAAGGATGTTGTCAGGACTGGAGGGTTTGAGTTATAAGGAGAGGCTGGATAGGCTGGGACTTTTGTTTTACTGGAACGTAGGATGTTCAGGGATGACCTTATAGAAGTTTATAAAATCATGAGGGGAATAGATCAGGTGAATAGCAAAAGATCTTTCCCCTAGGGCAGGGAGTTCAAAACTAGAGGGCATATTTTTAAAATGAGAAGCGAAAGATTTAAAAGGGACCTGAGGGGCAACTTTTTCACACAGTTCATATGTAGAATGAACTGCCACAGGAAGTGGTAGATGCAGGTAGTTACAACATCTAAATGACATTTGGACAGGTACGTGAATAGGAAAGATTTAGAAGGAAATGGCTAAATGCAGGCAAATGGGACTAGTTTAGTTTGGCAAACTTGGTTTGCATGGACCAGTTAGACTGAAGAGTCTGTTTCTGTGCTGTATCACTCAATGACTTTAAGTGGTAACAGGACAGCATTGCATACTCCCTTGTACCTCTTGCTGCAAATGTACAGAGCTTTGGTAAAATCACAGCTAAAGCACATTTCTGCTGCTGAATTCCTTTGGTGAACCCAATAAAATTACAGGAGTCTGGAGAAGTGAGTTTTTGACAGTTTGAGGAAATGTGCAGAGTACCACTTGTCAAAGTTTTGGTGCTCCAGATAGTTTTTGCTGATAAAGAGTGTCTTTTTTCCTGCAGCCTTCCCCCTTACACAATGATGATTGTAGGGGCAGCTGTGTTTCTGACAAAATAAAATCTGCAACTGGCTCCTGCAAGGCCCAGTAAAGCTTTAAGGTCATTCTGATGGGCTTCTGTTGGAATTAGCGTAGAGTTTCCGAAAACGTCTGGAGAATTTTGATACAATAATTTACTGCTGCATATTCATTTCAAAAATATACTGAAACCAAACAAGCCCTATAAACACTCACCTTTTCGTAACAGAACCTCAGGAGCTATGTAGTTTGGAGTTCCAACCAATGAGTGGGCTAGACATCTTTGGTGTTGTCGGGCAGCCCTCTGTTCGAGGGTCTTTAATCTGTCACCACACTTACAGTCAGACAAATCTCCCCAGAGATCACTTGGTTCCATGCTGTCCTGTCTCATATGACTCCCTTTTAATAAATTGGAAAATGAAACATTTGAATACAAAATTTGTTATACTTGACATCAACTTCCATAGCAAAACATTTTATAATTTCAATTATTTTACATCAACTCAAGTCTAGATGCTTAATGTCTACAAACAAGCTAAGAAAAAATTTAAGCCTGTTGTCAGAATACAGATGTGCATAATCTTACTAAATTGGATTAATTACAATAATTACATACCGGTAGAAAAAAAATGAACAATTTCAAAATGGCATATGTTTTTCAAGTCTATTGCATTCAGATTCATCTCATATTTTACTTTCCATTTAGAAGACTGACACATGATACACATCTTCAGATTAAGGAATACAAGCACTGTATTAGTTGTATTTGTATTAAGAAATACAAAAAAAAACAGTAGGCCATTCAGCCTGTCTAATCTGCTCTGCTATTCAACTAGATTATGGCTGATCATCTATCTCAATACCACTTTCCTGCACTATCTTCATATCGCATGATGCCATCAATTTCTAGAAGACGTCTGGTTTGAACATGCTCAATAATTGTACTTCCAAGTCTTCTGGGCTAGAAAATTCCAAAGTGAAGAAATTCCTCTTTAGCTCAGTGTCAAAGGGCCTAAGATTTTGTCCCATGGTTTTAGATTGACCAGCCAAGAAAAACATCTCATCTACATTCACCCCTGCCACACCTTGTCAGATTTTGTAAATTTCAATGAGGTCATCCCTCATTCTGCACAACTCTAGTGAATCCAGACTCCGTCTCATCAAACTCTTTTCATTAGACAATCCCATCGCCTCAGGAATTAGTAAAACTGAATTTACGTTGCAAACGCTGTCTGGCAAGTATTTCCCTCCTGAGATAAGAGGACCGAAACTGCACACAATATTTCAGGTGAGATCTCACTGAGGCTTTATACAAACACAACAAAACATTTTTTGCTTCTATGTTCAAATCCCCTTGTGACGAAGGCCTACACACCGTTTGCATTCCTAATTGCTTGCTGCACCTATATAACTTTTAGTGACTCATGAGAAAGGGCACATAGGTCCCTTTGGATATCTGCACTTCTCAACCTCTCCATTTCAGAAAACTAAGTGAATAACATAGTTGCATTATGTTCCACATGCCATGTTCTAGTCCTTCAATTAGTTTTTGGTTTTGTACATTCATTTTATTGAGAGGGGTTACAGGAGATGACTATTAGCCAGGCCTGCACCCTCAACAAAGAAAACACTAACTTTATTATTCACTGTGTGGATTGCAGGTGGGGATCAAGCTCAATTTGAAATTCATGAGGGAGAAAACAATTGGAACTTTTGCCTTGTTTGCAGCTCGAGGTAGAAATCACGACTCGAGGCAGAGTTAGATTAAACTTGTGAAAAGATGCTGGTCTCCAAAGTGAAGAGCTCAGGTATCCTCAGTCATGAGATATTAATTAAAGTGTGCAGGGTCACTTCCCAAAAGTTAATAGAAGGATTGTTATAAATTATTAAATTGAAGACTAGTGAAAAACTAAGGAGAATAAAAATAAATTCCAGAGGTTGTGGCATACCTTGTAAACTGGTCCCTAAAAAATTGAATGAGCCATCAAGGTTTTTGTAATATATAAAGGAATTCTTGGGCAAGAAGAATAGTAAAAAGTAGAACTGCATTCAAAGCAAAAGCAGTTATAAAATGTATAGTGTTGCTGAAGTCTTTTCACATACAATAAAGTTTGTTCTTGTTTAAAAAGTGTGAAACCTTCTGGCATAGTTCTCTCATTTAATCACATTAATTGTCTAACAGGAGCGTAACAAAATGTTATAGAAAATCTGGATTGTTATTTTCCTTCATATGTGCCTCTAAGTAGAATTCCATTCTCTTGCTGTTACCTCAGAAGTTTTAATATTTATCTTTTGAAGCATCAACATAATGACCCCATAAAATAATGTATCTAGTTAAACAAAGGTTATGGCAGAAAATTGAGAAGGAGACAGACAGAGGGCATGAGTGAGAGGCGAGCACAAGAGGTGGGGTAAAGAGTTGAAAAGACAGAGGAAGTAAAGGGAAATGAAGCATTTTTTAAATTTTCTTTTTCATTCTTTCTATGGTGATCTTAAATTTATACACTTTTGCATAGTCTCAATGAACTGATCCGATCTTCACACAACATCAAAACACATCTCCAGAGGTTCCTGTCAAAACTTATATACCCATCTTTTCTGGATCCTGTATTTCGTAAGTCATAAAAATTCAGGTTTCCTGGTACAGGCTGAGCGCTCAGATTGATTTCAGTGCATCCCTCATGAGATCAAGGAACACTTTTCTTAAATTTAACTGGTAGCATGGGTATTTTTATAGTAAACATAGAATATGCTACAATGCACAGGCTAAATTAGTGCATCAATGACCATCAACACCACGAAAGGGCTCAATTTAATTGTTATGGTGATAGCCCATCCGCCAGCCAGAAAGCCAGTGGCGATCAAATTGCCGCCATTTCATCTAAAATATGTATTCCCAACACTAGTAAATATGACGGAAGGACCATCCACTATCAATGTTCAAACCTACAATGGTAGTCTTAGGGCCTAATAACCTTAATTTGTTTTTTTTCAAATATTAGCATGGCCAATCTTTTCTCTGATTTATATCATCATCTGCCTTCTACAATTTGCATTGTCACTGAAGTCTGTTTGGAATTGATTTTCAGTGTTTAGGGGACAGGACAGCAAATGATAACATGAACAGAGAACAGTGGAATCTGTGTGGCATCAGTCTCCTGAAATCAATTTATAAGGAAAGACCACCTTTAACTTTAACAAGTTAATCCAATAAAAGAGTGTCTAATATGGTCGCTGTTTGAATGGAACAGTTTTCTGCGCTATACACTTTTAGCTGAAGGAAAAACAAGCAAGGTTAACTTTCCTTTGTCCTCACCAAACCCTGATGTAAAAGATTCTTTTAGAAGTTTCAGAGCACCCATGACAGATGTGAAGTTATTGTACATTCTATGATCTCCCTCCACCTGAGATCTTCCAGAATATGGACTACTGCATAATCCTTGTCAACATCAGTCTATGGAACCTGAATCATGCAGGTCAAGTTGGGATTAAAAGGTCTTTATTCTGTAAAATGACAAGCTGATTTAGACAGAAGATGATAAGTTAATGCTCTGGCTGTCAACATGACACAAAAACAAAATACTGTAGGTGTTGCAACTATGAACTAAGTAGAAATTTCTGTAAATATTCAGCAAATCTGACAGAGTCTGTGATGAGAAGAAGAAAATATGCTGATAGTGGGTGATGCAAAATCATAAGTGCATTTTTGGAAAGGGCCCATAAAACATAATGGGCGGCTAGCCCACTGCCTGTCTGCTCACCCCTGACCTATTTCCTGTAAAAGTGGAAGGGCACCAAAATAGGAAGCCTGCCTGCCATTTGTAAAAGATAATTAATAGGCAATTGAGCCTCCTAACAAGCCAAATGATATGTCATTTGATGTACTGTGGTGCTTAATCTTTGTGTTAATCTAAATTGCGCAAGCAGTTCTGTGACTGACTGCCGACAACTCCAAAAGTGATCTTGTCATAATATGTTATAAAGTCCAATTTCCTTGAATTGGCTCGAAGGTAGAAGACAGAGGGTGGTGGTGGAGGATTGCTCTTCAGACTAGAGTGACACAAGGATTGTGCTGGGTCCACTGCTTTTAGTCATTTATATAAATGATTTGGATGTGAACACAGGAGGTATGGTTAGTAAGTTTGCAGAAGACAACAAAATTGGAAGTGTGGTGGACAGCGAAGAAGGTTATCTCAGAGTACAACGGGATCTTGATCAGATGGGCCAATAGGCCGCAGAGTGGCAGATGGAATTTAATTTAGATAAATGTGAGGTGCTGCATTTTGGAAAGGCAAATCTGGGCAGGACACACACAATGGTAAGGTCCGGGGGAATGTTGCTGAACAAAGACACCTTGGAGTGCAGGTTCATACTTTCTTGAAAGTGAAGTTGCAGGTATATAGGATAGTGAAGGCGACATTTGGTATGCTTGCCTTTATTGGTCAGTGCATTGAGTACAGGAGTTAGGAGATCATGATGCAGGACATTGGTTAGGCCACTTTTGGAATACTGTGTGCAATTCTGATCTCCCTGCTACAGGAAGGATGTTGTAAAACTTGTAAATCTTTTCTAAACCGTTTCAAGGATGTTGCCAGGGTTGCAAGATTTGAGCTATAAGGACAGGCTGAATAGGCTGGGGCTATTTTCCCTGCAGCGTAGGAGGCTGAGGAGTGAGCTTATAGAGGTTTATAAAATCTTGCGTGGGGTAAAGGACAAGGTCTTTTTCCCAGGGTGGCGGAGTCCAAAACTAGAGGGCATAGGTTTGAGGTGAAAGGGGAAAGATTTAAAAAGGGACCTAAGGGGCAACTTTTTTTTTTACAAAGAGGGTGTTGCGTGTATGGAATCAGGTGCCAGAGGAAGTGATGGAGGCTGGTACAATTACAACATTGAAAAGGCATCTGGATGGGTATATGAATAGGAAGGGTTTGGAGGGATATGGGCCAAATCCTGGCAAATGGGACTAGAATATTTGGTCGCCATGGATGAGTTGGACTGAAGGATCGGTTTCCATGCTGTACAGCTCTAATGACTCTATAACTGACTTGAATATTTCAATGTTCATGCCTAGTGCATTTGGCATGGGAAGAGGGAGAAATTTGGAACACCTTCTTTTAAGGTAGAGGTTGCCCTGTGCAGATTGTGGGTCATCAACTCATCACTGTCCACTCCTGTGGCACTCCCCTAACTATCTCCTCTCATTCACCCCTTTCATTTTAGTGTTGCTCCTATCTCTCTTATTTTGTGAGCACTGACTTTGCCCACAAATCTGTTGTATTATGGTTGATTAAATGCCTTTTAAAAAAGTTTATGTTCATATCTACAGCATTACCCTCATCAACCTTCTCTGTTCCCTCAAAAACACTCAAGCAAGTTAGTTAAAAACAGTTTGTCCTTACAAATCTGTGCAGATTTCCAAAGCCTACAGACAGAGGAAACATTATTTTTGGATTCAGTATGTCCATCCCTGTCAGGATTTTATACATTTCAGTGAGATTACTCTCCATTTAAACTCCAGATCTAGTTAGTCCAATCTCTCTTCAAGAGCAAACTGCTACACCAGGAGTCTGTCTGTTCATCCTTTTCTACACATTATATATTTCTTGGGTAAGGAAACCAAAACTGCATACAATACTTTGGGTGTCATCTCACCAAGGCACTGAACAGCTGCAGTAATCAAATTATCATTACCAAATTACCAAGTCAAATTACCATTTCCCTTTCTAACTGCTTGCTGCATGCTTGCTTTCAATAAATGTTTACAAGAACACCCAGATTCTTGTAGATTTGTATAAGGATACCCAAGTTTGTACATCATTGTTCAAATAATACTTTCATTCTGTTTTTCCTATTGAAGTGGATAACTTCACACGTATCCATTTTACACTGCAACTTCCATGCATATGCCCACTCACTCAACTTGTCTAAATCACAATGAAACATCTTTACATCCTCCTCACTACTCACAATTCCACTTACTTTGTGTCATCAGCAGACTTGGAAATATTACATGTGATTCCTCATCCAAACTGCTGCTTTATAATGCGAGTAGCTGGGGCATAAGTCACAACATTCCACTCTGAAAAAGATCCATTTATTCCTACTGTCTGTTTCCTGAATGCTAATTAATTCTGAATCTATGCCCATATATTACCATCAGTCATATATGCTTTAGTTTCACACACTAACCTCTTAAGTGGGACTTTATCAAAAACATTACAAAAATCCAAATACACCATCTCCACTAATTCTCTTTTCTCTATTCTACTTACATCACTTCTCTATTGCATCTTCCCATACATGTATAATGTTCAGGAGATGCAACATCTGTCTTTTATGCTTCCTCCCGTCTCACTGTCCAAGGCCCAAATACTATTCCAGGTGAAAAAAATGTCACTAGGCCTGCAGAGTATTTCTAGCATTTTCTGCTTTAAAACTGATGTTTTGATGACAAGCAAGCACAATATTGCTCTACTATGAGGTAACAAAAATGATTTTCAAAAAAAAATTAATAAAACATGTGTTAAGCACTGAAGGAAAATGTAGACAATTATATAATCTAGACTTACCTTTCTGATAGTATTTGGAATCATGAGTCCACCTAAATCCAGTACAAAGACCGAAGTCTGTGAGCTTAATGTGTCCATCAAGATCAATAAGGATGTTGTCGGGTTTAATATCCCTGTGAATAAATCCCATTTTGTGAACGCTCTCAATAGCTAAAGTCAATTCTGCAATATAGAACCTTGCCAGTGACTCAGGAAAAACTCCCATTCGTATCAAGAGACTCATCATATCTCCACCTGGGATGTAGTCCATCACGAAATATAAATTTTCCTTATCTTGAAAAGAATAGTAGAGCTTGACCACCCATTCATTGTCAGCTTCAGCCAGAATATCTCTCTCTGCTTTCACATGGGCCACTTGATTACGACTGAGCACATCCTTTTTCCGTAGGGTTTTCATTGCATACAGAGCATTGGTATCCACCTTTTGAGCTAGGCAGACCTCCCCAAAGGCACCAACTCCCAGTGTCTTAACTTTTACAAAGAGTGACTTATCCATTTTTGCTCTTTTCAGTCTGTTGTAATTAGACTCTTTCTGATTAAGCATTTTCCTCATCTGCTCCTGTTCTGCCTCGGATAGTCCTGCCTTTGGAAGTCATATATTATAAATTAGTTGAAAAAAGATGAACAGTATCAGAAAAAAAGATTAACAACAGACAAAGGCCCTGAAAGACTATTTGATAATTCCTTTGCTGAAGATTATAGATGTCTCCCTTATTGAATAATTGAGCAAATGTGCCATACAATAATACAAAACAGACAACCCAGAATGTTTCACCTTTGATTCCATTGATATCCATTGTCTTCTGTTTGAAAAGCAGGATATGGAGCTCTTAGTTTCTGAGAAATAATTATTTTCTATCACCATCAAGAGAATAAATTGAAAATGGAATGAATTAAGCTTGCTTTGACTCCCAAACTCTATTATCCCTTTTAGCTAAATTATTTATTCCTATAAACAAACTGGATCCTTACTGAAAAATTAGTTGAAGATTTGTAATACCAGATCTCCACCCTTTTTGTGCATTACACAAAATGACAGTTGGCAACAGGAGCTATTAGGTGCAAGGTGCACATTGCTCAGATCAACGTTCAGATAGCATAACTTTAATATTCACATATTTTCACAAAATCTATGTGGATGCGCTATCCAGCATGATATGAGTAGTCTAAATTGTTAAGGACTAAATTTGAAAACAATTTTTGGACTACTTTAATACTATTTCTCTAAAATATGTATGTTCAGAACTTTTGCAGAATTATTACAGTGCAGTAGCTACAATGTCACAGATTTTTCCCATGAGACTCCTTTTTAAATCTCTGCATTTCAAGTAAGGCAGGCTACATCAGAGATGCACTGTACCCATCAGAAGCCCCAAACTAGGATTAAATGAACTTCCATTGATTTGAGGCACAGTGAAGGCTTCAATTTAGTAATAGGTAACATGACAGATGTAGTAAAATACAGAACTCCATCAAAGTTCCGCAATATGTCCAATGTCACAACCACTCCTACCTTTAATGTTTTCACGCTGACACAGAGGAGCTGAGCCACACAAGCTAACCAGCTTTTCATGAGTAAAGCAATATTCCCCAAAGACAATTGATGATAGCAAGAAAACAATTTTATCAAGTCACAGATATGCCTTAAAGTCCATAGAGGATGACTTCTGGCAATTTCTTAGGATAGGCATCAACTGCTCTTAGGGCCTGTGGCATGTGGGGCTCCAATGCAGAGTTGCTATAAACTCCATAATGGAAGGCAATGTTGTATAATCAAGCTGTAATGCATGGAACAAAGTCACCGTTTTTGGGCAGAGGTGGAGCCATAGTGATAATGTCTCTGAACTAATAATCCAGAGGCTCATGCTGATACTCTTAGAAGCACAGGCTCAAATTCCACCATGGCAGTTGAGGCAATTTAAATTGAATTCACAAAGCTAGCATATTAGGCTAGTCTCAGTAACAGTGACTACGTAAACTGTCATGAAATGTTGTAAAAATCCATTTGGTTCACCCATTTCTGAAGAAGGGTCTAGGCCCGTAACGTCAGCTTTCCTGCTCCTCTGATGCTGCTTGGCCTGCTGTGTTCATCCAGCTCCACACCTTGTTATCTCAGATTCTCCAGCATCTTCAACTCCTACTATCTCTGGTTCATTAATGTTCCTTGGGAAGTAAATCTGTCCTTACCTGGTCTGGCCTACATGTAACTCAAGACCACAGCACACAGTGACTGATATCATAACTCCCCTATGAAACGGCATAGTAAGCCACACTGTTCAAGGGCAATTAGGGATGGGTAACAAATGTTGTCCTTGCTAGCAAGGCCCACATCCAACAAAAGCATTTTAAAAATCACGGACATGATTAGCATGGTCACCAATTAGTGAACCAATGAGCTCGATGCTCAGAGATCTTTCAAAAATAGGTCCTTGAGACACAAATGCAAACTGGCCCACAGCTTTCAACAGAAAAGGTGATGCAATAATGGCTTGCATTCTATGTTTAAGTCAGAAAAATCAATAAGAGAATGAGATGATATTTAAAAGCAGTCAACTTTCCATCTTCTAAACTGTCTATGACTTGCATACACGGGTTTAGGTCAATAGCTAGGGGCCTTCCTCTTAGTTCTCTCTCTATTGAAATTTGGTGTCTTCTGCAAGTGGAATAGAATGAACTAAAAATAACTTACGATTAAGATGAAAAATAGTGATAAATAAAGCGGTGATATTTACTGCAGGGGTGGGAGGAGGGATATGGTAAACTGAGTCCTGCTCAACCCAGTGTCAATGACATCGAAGGTTGGAGGAGAAACTTCTGTACCACCTGGCTCATCAGGCAACCTAAAACCAATTACTCAGCTTTTCTATTGTCTTCTGTGCCTGCTGCTCCTTTGTGCTTAGGCAAGGTCAGAGTCTGAGTGACATCATCTGAGCCTAAATTCTGAATTTAACGAAATCCTCATCTGTCTGCAAGACTTAGCCTTAGCAAGGGTAGCCAGAGTGTGCATTTTAAAATGGTGTATGCCAGCAAGGATTGGGGAAGAACCCAGAAATGCCCATTCTTAAAATTGGCAGTCTACAGCATGATGGCACGCACATACAACAGATAGATACTATAGATGAAATCATCTGGGCTAAATATACATATGGCTGTGATTAAAGGAACAATTTCAGGTGAAGGCTGAGGGTTCTAAGTGTACTCAGTATCATGGGCATTCTGGTGCTTTTAGTTATATTATGTTTCCCTAATTTGACAAAGTCTTGAACTTTTAGCAATGTGTCCAATTCTACACTGTGGAAGCGACTTTCATACTGGTTCTCAACCCTTGGATGAAGTATAGAGAAAAGTTAAACACTGCAGGGGCTTGTAGAACTCGCTACAAAAGACTGTTCTGTTTCTCAATTTCTTAACACCAAAAGACAAGAGCACACACTATACACACTTCTGGCACACTGTCACAAGCTCTCTCTCCTAAATTTTAGAAATTAAAATGGCCATCTCTTTAAGAAGCCGCAAGATTTAAAATGATGCCTCGACAGATGAATGGCATGCTTGTCGAGATGGACTTCTGCTTTAATAAGAGGAATGGCAAATAGTTCATGTAATTAAGGGACCAACAATTATACAAAACAGTAGGAGTTGCTACCATCACAATTAAGACAGTCATTAGTAAACCACCTACTTCTAATCACCAGTTCCAGACCAACAATCTGATCCTCCTGAGAGCAGAATTATAATTGCATGGAGAGGAAAAAATAGCCAAGGTCTTAAAAAGAGAATGTTGTTGCAATACAGGCAAGTTTTCCTTTATTGCATTTACTGAAGAATGGTCTTCAGACCCAAATGATCAACTGTTCTTTGGGTTTATTTCCTGAAGCTGCAATGTTCACTTCTAACCATTCAGCAAAGGAGCCAGTGTTGCCCAAATTTCTCATTTATGCCAGTGAACTATTAGACCACTTTTCAATCTCTGCTGCAAACTCTCATTTATAACAGGTTTCAATCCTTGAAGAATTGCTACCTTGACAGATTTTAAGTCTTCCATCCATATCTGGACTAGTTTTGTCTCTACCAACAATTTAATTAGATTAAGGAACATATTCAACATAGTCGGGATGGCTAGGGTGGTAAGTAGTGAAGATGACAGGAGTCTACGGAGGGATTATAGACAGGTGACATGAGAGAGTAAAAATTTGGCAAGTGAAATGTAATGTGGGATGAACAAAAAAGTTATCTGGTATTCCTTTATCTGGAATACTCATGCGAGCACAATAGATGGGAGTAGGTTTCCTTGCTCTGGGAGCTGATCATTTGATTGCCCCTCTCTTGTTTTGATCAAACCTTGATGACAGTATTTATGAGCAGTGCTGACTGCAACTGTTCATAGAGCTGGCACACTCCATTCCCCATGCGTGCTGGATACCGGAGTGGGCGCGTGGTATTGTATTATTTAACTGGGAAAAGACTGTGGAAAGCTGCAACACACAGCAATTTGGGGATCTTCATCCTGTATCACAAAAAGTTAACATCCATTTCAGTGGGTAATAGGAAAGGCAAACAAACTGTTTGATCTTTATTTCAAAGGGAATAAAATATAAAAATAGAGAAGTCTTGTGAAAACTATACAGAGCACTAATTAGACCACACCTTGAATACTGTAAACAATTTTGGTCCCCTTATCCAAGGAAAGATATCCTGGCATGGGGGTGCAGTTCGGAGAAGCTCTCTAGGCTGATCCTGGGTACAGAGGGACTGTCTTATAGAAAACAGGTTGAATGGGCTGGGCCTGTACTCATTGGAAATTAGAAGACTGAGCAGAGCAATTATTGAATCATAAGATTCTTAGCTGGAGTGATTGTTTCCCCCTTCTGGGATAGTCTAGGATTAGAGGGCATAATCTCAGAGTAAGGTGTTGCCCACCTAAGACCAAGATGAGGAGGAATTCCCTCTCGGAGAGAGTGTACCTGCAGAAATCTTTACTACGGAGGCCATCAAGGCTGGTTTGTTAGGTATATTCAAGGCTAGGACAGACAGAATTGAAATTAGTAAGGAAATTAAGCGTAATAAAACAGGAAGGTTGAATTGAGAATCATCAGATCAACCATGATCTAAGTGAACAGCAGAAAAAGCTGAATGCCTACTTCTGCTAGTGCCGTGGGTCAACAGATCCCTGGTGTTGCCACATTTGCAAAATTGGGATTTATCTCAAAAGCCACATGTCAGCTGGTTTTGAAAAGATGATGTGCAAGCGGACCTGGGAACAAATTCCATGCTGATTTTTTTTTCCCCAAAAGACCATACTATAGACCACAATATATTACTTTAATTAAAAACAATACAATTCTGATAGGAACTGAAAGGAATGAGGACTCAAATATGATTCCAACCACTCTGTGATTAAGCATGCTACCTTTGAAACTAAACTCTTTAAATCTGTACTTCAAAGAAGATTGATTAAAGACAAAATTTAGTTTCAGTGAAATATAAACATTAAATGGTTCAGTTCTACAGTTATAATTTCAATGTTAAATCAATACCTTTGACATCTCTTGCTCCAACTGTAGCCTTCTGTTCAATTTTTGCTGATATGTTTTCATGATATTTTCTACATGTTGTTCCATGAAAAATTTAAAAGCAAAAGGGGAGTAACTCTTAATTCGCGATTCCCTTTTCTCTTCACCCTTATTTTTGCGAAACGGCACAGGGGATGTTTGAATACGTTTTTTGTCCTTTCCTGTCTTCTCTGGTTTATTAGGCTTGCTACATTTCTCACTTTTCTCATTGTTGCTGTCCTCAGTTTTATTGCATGTCAAACTGTGAACACCACTGATACACTGCTCCACATCCATGGACACAGAGTTAGCATCAAATTGCTCTGCATTGTTCTGAAGTAATAAATGTTTTGGATATGGTGGTGGAAGACATCTAATCTCTTTCATACTGTAATCATCAGGTTCAAGGACATAGGCTGCTGCTCCAGCTCGTGCCAAGGATTTTTGCTCCATTGTATCATTGCTGTCTGTACCCTGATTCTGCAACCATGCTGGATGTGAAGGTGCTACAGCAGTTTGAGGTTCAGGTCTTGGAACTCGAATGCTCTTCACAGGTTGAAGAATAGGGGTTGATGTTACTGCTGTAATAGTGTTGGTAGTGTTTAGGGATGATTCTGTTTTGCTGGTTTGAATTTGTCTCACAGATGGTGAAGTTTGAATTTGATTGTTGAACGAATTAGTTCTGTTTGGAATTTGGCTATCTGGCCTAAGATGGCTAGCTGGTCTTGGCAATGTTTCTAGTCCAGTGTTCTGCAAGGAATCCCTCCTTGATAGAGACGGTACTTGCCAATGTTGCACCTGGGAAGGATTAATATCAAAAATGTCCATGTTGAGGCTATTTCTTGAGGGTGTGATCATATTTGGAGCAAGTTCTGAAAACTCATTTCCAAATGAAGAAGTTAGGCTTGATAACATTTGTATTTGAGGAGATGTAGGACTTTGTTGTCTATGATGGGACTGAGGCAAGTATAAAACTGTTGGAGGTTGTTGGAACGTCTGGCCAGGAATGCCTTGAGTAACAGGGCTTTTATTATGAAGGGTTCCATAATTTCCTTCTTGTTGCAACTTGTTTTGGAAAGATGAACTTCTTTGGACAGCATAACCTAAGGGGACATTATTTTCTCCTTGAGCCATTAAATGCTGCCTCAAATAATGTGGATTGCTTGACACTTGAGGGCTTTGCAATGCAATTGGTTGGCCGCTGTGATTTGAAAGAGTGTAATTTATCATTTGAACAGATTGGCCTGTTTCTCCTTTGGCTGAAAACGGTATTTGTTGATGTTTAATATCACAGGTTGTGGATGGGAACATAGCATTTGATGGAGGATTCTGTCCACCAATTGCAGAGTGAGGTCCTAAGGGGGAGCACCTTTGCCCTGGAGTGTTGACTGTAATAGCTTGTCCAGCAGCAACTAAAAAATTCATATTCGGTGCATTTGCAGCTCCAGTATCTGCTAAATCATACATTGGATTGCCCATCTGGTGATAGGTAGACAAAGAGTCATTTGATCCTTCAAAACTTGGCCTACGATCAAGAGGATGTGATCCAATATTTTTTCCTTAAAATAAACAAATTGGATGGCATTACTATCACAATCTATTTGTTGCAATTATCAAAAGCAGGAAAATGGCTAAAAAGAAATTAAGTGACAAGTCTGTTTGTATCATTTTCTGATATCTGATGTCTTAAAAGGTAGTGGAGATTTGTCTTCTGAAGAAGAATCATTGAGCTCAAAATATTTCAACTGATTGTGCCAAACCCACAACTCCTTTTGTTTTAATTTCACAGACTTCTTCAGATAATTCAGTGAATTTATTCAGAGAATAGCTGTGTTGTATATACTAGGAAAGTTATAGATCTAGTTTCTAATATTATCTCATTAGAGCAGCAGGGTGTTACAGTTAGTTTCAGCACTCTCAAGACTGGGAATTTCAAATTGGCATTCTGATTCTGATTGCTATTTAGTGTTCCTGCTAGAATTGTGCACACATATGTATGTTAAACTGAGCCACTCTCAAGTCTCATAGAACAGAATAAAAGCAAGATGAGAGATCTAAAGACATGTCAGCCGAGGACTGTGTATGAAGTGAGAAAGAATGTACATTGAAAATAGGTAAAGTTAAAAAGGTAAGTTATATAATCCAATAAAACAATTTTTTTCCTGTGAAACACTTCCAAACATAAGACAATCATAGATTTTAGTAGCAAACCTGGCTTAGTATCAATCTACTCAGTGCTATATGACATGGTACCTACCACACAATAACATTTTATAGCTCTTCAGCATTTGGGTGAAGGGACTTAGTAGGGCACAAGTTGTGTTTAGCACGAATTCAGGACAAGGTACTCATGATTTTTCACTATATTAAAATTAATTAATGGAAGACTGGCAAGCTTCTGCCTGTATTTTTGACAAGTCCTTCATCCCATTTGAAAATCTGTCCACAAATTCCAAAATGGATAAATATTAACAACATCTTGGAAGCAAAATATTCTAAAATTTCTTTGTTTCTTCCATTTATAATTGATAATTTATAATGTTCACCCCAAGTCTATAACGGCTGAAATTTGGCTCCTAATTTTATTTACTTATTCAGTTTTCTCTGGACACTTGTCTAGATCTCCCCTCCTTTCTTTTAAAGTATTGACTTCTCGTTAGGTTAAAATTCCACAGAGCAACTTTTTTTGGTTCATCATCTGAGTGGCCATTACTGATGTTAGTGTCTCACGAATGAATTGGCCAACTATTCAAAAACAGAAGTTGCTCGTGAAACTCAGCAGGTCTGGCAACATCTGTGGGAAGAAAGCAGAGTTAATGTTTCAACTCCAGCAATCCTTCTTCAGAACTGTTCACAGCTAGGAAAAAGCAGTATTTATGCTGAAGACGAAGTTGGGGGAGGAAGGAGGGGAAGGGGAGAGATGAGTGGATAGATGGAGATTTTTTCCTTTATTCATTCAGGGGTTGAGGGCATCACTGGCTAGGCCATCATTTATTGCCCATCCCTAATTGCCCAGAGGGCAGTTATGAGTCAACCACACTGCTGTGGGTCTGGAGTCACATGTTGGCCAGGTCAGGCCAGGCCAGTTAAGGATGGTAAAAACCAAAATAACTGCAGATGCTGTAAATCAGGAACAGAAACAGAAATTGCTGGAAAAGCTCAGCAGGTCTGGCAGCATCTATGAATAAAAAAAATCAGAGTTAATATTTCGGATCTGGCGACCCTTGGTAGTTTCCTTCCCGAAAGGATATTAGTGAAACAGATGGATTTTTCCTGACAAAAAACATTGGATTCACGATCATCATTGGACTCTTAATTCCAGGTATTTACTGAATTCAAATTCCACCATCTGCCATGGCAGAATTTGAACCCAGGTCCCCAGGACATTACCTTGGTCCCTGGATTAACAGTCCAGCAAGAATACCACTAGGCCATTGCCTCCCCAGATGGCATCTAGAGATATACAGAGACAGGGAGAAAGAGATTTAGGGGGGTGGAGAGAGAGAGCGCGAGAGAGAGAGCACGTGCGCGAGAGAGAGCACGAGAGCGCGAGAGAGAGCACGAGAGCGCGAG